TGGAAACTTCTGCAGTCCATTCTTTCACAGAATATACAAAATAGGTGAGAGGACACATCCCAGTGAGGAACCAGTGGAGGAGAACAAAACGTCTGACACAGAGCTGTTTACTCTCACACATTGAGATCTGTCTACAATCCATCCAACAATGCCAGGACACATGTTAAAATAAGAGATCAGTTTGTGGGCTAAAATGTGGGACTGAATTGTGTTAAAAACAAAAGATGTGGATATCTCCCTGGCCCTTCGAGGTGGTTAAAAAGCATATTAGGAAGGTTTGACTCATCAACCTCTTTTAGCTCCTATAAGCAAACTGTAGAGGATGCCTCCACGGCCCAGAGTAGTTCTCTCTTGTTGAACTCTCCAAAGGTCCTCATTACCAGTGAGGTCAGGGCCACAAGCCCCAAATCCCTGATGCTCTTAGGTGGATTTGCTCCCAGGCACTGGGACAATTGATGACTTCTTCCGCAACGTAGGAACCTCTTACGAGCATTTAAATATGGAGTGGAAAATAGGAGACAATTGATCTGCACAGTGTTTGAGTAGATGTCAGGAAAGCTTTTACCTGATCCGGGACATTGGAAGTCTGTTCAAGCCCCAATGTACCATATCTGAGAGCAAACATATTGTTTGAACACAAGCAGGGCAAATTTAAGTGCAAGCATGGGAATATTTGGACGTGTGGGCAGCGTTTTGAGGGTATAAATTACTAAATCTGATGCCTCATTAAAGCCAGAAGACTTTTTGTTCAAGGTAGATTAACTAATACATAAAGGAAACAAAACTTCTGTCAGAGAAGTCTGTCACTCTGGGATCATACAATTGATTAGCATTTTTCTCATGACTTTTTTCTTTGTTTACGTTTGGATTAATGCTAATCTTGTTTTGTTTTTGTGTCTCTTTGGCTGGATTCATTGGTGATCGTCTTAGCCTACTTGCCTGTTGATCATAACTTCCTTCCAGGAACAAATCTATAAATACAACAATATATGTGAACTACAGGGAAAGGTCATGAGGTCAACTGAAGCGGTTCTTGGCTGTTAACAAAGACCATATACGTCTTAATACCTGATTACCTGAAACCTGTAGCATTCAGTCTCTGCTGCCAAAGCTCAACATAAATAGATCTGGTTCAGTAAACAAGAACTTGGATGAAACTCGTTATAATCCTACAGTTTCTGAGAAATGTGCAGTCAATAAATTAGGCTAGTGGTACCTCAATTGCTCAAATTAGCTCAAATTAGCACAAATGGTGGTGAGTAGATTAATTTATCCAAACTACATCTCCTTTTAAGAGGCTAAAATTGTACCAAAGCACTTTGAGTGTATCTGCATCATGATAGTATAGTGCTACCTCTTGTTTTTGTACCCTTTCTGCTTTTTTATTCATTGACAATTCCAGTAACTACTGACAAAATATGTAGTGTAACCTGAACGCTCAGCATCAGTGGCAGCCGTCTTGGTTGTTTATGAATATTCTCCAAAGGTAATGAAACTTGCCCAACAGACCATCTTGGTGTTTTGTACACAGTGATCACCAGTTGGGCTCGGGGCGGAAAACTATATGAAGTGCATTCTAGCGTGAAACAGTAAACCAATTACAGAGCCGTTTAACCCCGTGTCACGTGTGGACACAAAGCTCCTTTTATTCTAAGGACAAGTCCCCCCCCCCCATATGACCTTTACACTCAACCATTACATATTATTCAGACATACTCAATGTGTCTCCAATGTTTGGTGGTATTTACCCAAGGAGGATTGTGAAGTATAGTATTTATTTCAATTCTGTTAAATTTAAGGTCCACAGGTGACTGATCCTCACGTGACAATGAGTTTGAACCAAAGAACAAGAGCATGTCTGACCTCTGACCTCTGACATATCAGACTGAGGGGATACTAGTTTGAAAACGTTGTAATTTAATTGCACAGTGCTGAAATTTCAAGAGAGATAATTCCAAAGCTTCCTTGGAGGTTGGGCCCCAGTAGTCTAGTGGTCAGTTTACACGCCCTATTTATGGAGGTTCAGCTGTGAACCTTGTGTGTGAAAGAATGGCAATAAAGGCAAATAGGTAGAATAACTTGAAAGACTCAAGTAACTTGCTAAGAACCAACAAAGTGTATGAAACAGTCCAGTTTATGCAATTTTCTTGGACGTGCGCACACTAGTCTTTTTTCTCCTCTTATACCAAGCCCCTTGTGAACTCTCAAACTCGAGCCCTTCACATGTGAGATAAAGTTAGTGAGCGTAAAGTGTTTAGGCTTTACATTAAATGTCAGACACTCCTTCACAGACACAACATGAAAACATGTTGATCATACGGAGGTGAAAGATCAACGTCAGCGCTTCAAATGTTACAAAGAGTTTAAAGTGATGTCATCATTTCGATCCTTTAACTCGTTCAATAAGAAAAAAAAATTTCGAGTCGGGAGTCGATAATTCCAAGTTGTTGTTTCCGACTTCCGATCTGGGTTAAAAATGGACAAACAGGTCATTCTGCTTACCTGTCACTGTGTGCACAACCATATTGCTGTGACGTCAATTCTACCCACTTGGTCTTGGATCTTGCCTTAGTTTGCGATTTGTAATTCCTACCTGAATGGCCGTTCCATTTCACTTTTCTGAGTCAGTGGTCGTTTTTTCCTGAGTTCTGTGTGGAATGGAATGCAGCATTATACCGGTTTAAAGGTTTGGGGCACCAAGGCAGTGAAATAACTTGATCTTATCAAAGAACATGCTGATAAAAGCTTTGCAGGCTTGAAATTGTACCAAATAAGAAATGCATTGCACTCGTCATCATCGAAAAGTCTGAAACAGTCTGTAATTTCTGCGCCACTTGAGAGTTTTAGTTGCAGCTTAAAGACAAATAATTTCTCTCAATTGTTGAAAATGGTTTCTTAAAGAGACGGCGTTGGGGTGTAAAGTGATGCTTCTGCTTGCATGAGGTGAAAGTGAAGTTTAAAGACCAGAGAAACTCCATCCGCCCCCCCCCCCCCCCAAACAGACAGACACAGACAAAGACAAAGACACAGATAGTTTACAGCCAGGACAGAAAGATATCCTGAGCTGCTCTGACACAAGGCTGCCAACCTGCAGCTCTGTATCGCATTAAAAGTTTAAGCTATAGGCATCATGGGAGAACAGACACTCTGATCAGATACTGACTCTGGCATTCTCCTATTGTCTATATTGTCTGTTTTTAAATGCAACACATAGACAATGACTTTCACTCATTTTCTGGATTGATCCCATTCTCTGCTTGCACTCGTAAGACCTACACACCTTTATTAAATGTGCTTTACACTACTTTCTATACATTTCTAATACAAACAATAACTTTATTTGTAAGCAAGTTCTGTATGTTAAGAGAAAGTGCCTGTGAAACATTTCAAAAAGGGTTCAGTGGGTTTCTTGTCGCCGTGGTTGTGTGCAGCACTAACGGGCAACTGCGTGAACTTCATTAAGCCCCATGATTGCACTTTGCTCTTACATAAGGGCTCTGTTATATCTGAGAGTCCCTGATCAAGTTACAGTGCCATTATGTAACTGAGTCGCTACGACACTGTGCAGTTCACCTTTTTGTCTTTGACACTTTGTCTCCTGCGACATCAATCTATTACCCTTTTACCAGATTTCTTTTTCCATGACACCTGCTGCAACACATCTTGGTGTCTGCCTGCCTGTACTGCATAATATCTGAACTGTAAAACATGATGAAACCTGTTAAGTTGAGTCATAGTAAAGCTGTTGACACACTTACTGTGGTCTATATTGCATCCTCCATCGGGGACGCACTGCTTATATAACATGGGGCTTTAGCTGAACAATCTCTATGAACTATACATTTAGTCTGTGATCCTTATTCTGCATGTACATTTGTGTGACTGTTGTAGCTAATGTTTTAAAATTGGCTTCAAAACATTAAAAATCTTCTATCAGGTAACCATTTAAATATGAATCAGTTGTAAGCGATGGCTTTATTAGTAAGGAAAAAGTGTTTTTCCATATAAATTACGTAAAATTATAATTGAAAAAACAAGAAAAACAACCAAATGAAATATTTTTGTGATAATAATAATAATAATAATAATAACTTAGATTTATACAGCGCCTTTCACGAAACCCAAGGAAGCTGTACAAAAGTTTTTGTGTTTTTAAATCCAGATAACATAGGTAAACAGACCTAAATTAAATAATCAATACTCATAAATGTTCATAAAAATGTATTATTAATTCTTTTTTGTTCTTTCTGCTTTTAATTTTTGAGTTATGAAATTTGTCCACCATAGGTAGGCAAGTAAAACATGCAAATCTTGCCCGATATTGACACTTTATGTGCACTGTGTGCATGTCTGTGTTACATGGAATATTACGGACTACATTTTTGTCAAAACTGCAGCTCAGCTGATCTATTTTTTATTTTTTTAAATCTATTTTTTAGTACATTCTTAATTTTTCTTTTTTATTTAAATTGTACTGTGTTCACTTTTTGTTTGCAATCTTTGCTCTTTGCTGCTGTAACAATGTAAATTTCCCCGTTGTGGGATAAATAAAGGATTATCTTATTTATCTTATTGCGTTCACAAAAAAAAGAAAAACAGACATAAACAACTTTCCAAACACACATAAGCGTAAGATATTAATATATACTACATTATAGTAGAAAATAAATCAATTTCCAGGTATTTCTATGTAACTTACTTCCATGTTTGTTTGTTCATTTGCGGCAACACCCTCAATCTTTGCACTTCCAGAACGTGAAGTAACGTCCCTCCACAAGATACCGCCCCCCTCAAACTCATTGGTCAATGTATCACCTATCCTGCTCCTTATTGGCCGAGACTGCCGTCGCTCATTATCTTACCACTGTTTGGGCGGTGGGGCACAAACAGAAAAAAAAAAAATCACATTATTCGGTTCGACGTCTCAGCGGGGGAGCTCGCTCGTCACTAGCCGGCGGAGCTTGCTTGCTTGCGGGGTCTTTTTTTTGGGGGGGCGGGTGGGGTGGGGGTGTTGTTCTGCCTCTCGCTGTTGCTCATGGATCTTTTTTAATTTCCCGACGAGGCAGAAAGCCGGTGTTTGATACAGGATGGTACGAAGAAAGCGGCTAAAACAGTGCCTTTGTAGTGGGAGCATTACTGCTGTCGGTGCCTTGTAGCTGCAGTATAAGTTAGCTAAAGGTTAGCTCATGCTAGGCCTTTTCTTTTTCTGACAGTTTATCGTTTCTCTTTTGTAAAACGGGTTATTAGCATCTTTTGTGCTGATTTTTTTTTTTACTTTGCTTCCTGCTGTGAAAATGGTTGAAATGAAGAGAGTCAACAGCTTCCAGAGGTGGGTGAAATCTGTCAAATATGGACAAATATTAACACTAATATCACTAATATAACTCTAAATTACATTAAAAAAACCGACAGGCCAGCCAGGTGTGGGTCCTGCTTACATCACTCTTCATGTCTGTTTGTCTGTTAACAGAAACCTGTTTTCCTCTCAAGGTGTGGAGTCACTTTCTGTCCTGCTTTACCAAATCAACAAAGAAATGTACATTTTGTTTTGGCTGTGATTGTTTTATAACCTAAAAAATAATGTGAAGAAGACTCAGATGAATGTTTAACCAGTCTATAACACAAATTAAACTTTAATTCTTAGTTTGAATAACTTTAAATTGACTGTTTTTAGTGTCCCAATGCTTGCATGGCTCTTACATTTAATTGACTATTTTATGGTATCATAATATCAATTAGCTTTTAAGGCTTTGGCTGTCAGTTATAATGATGTATTTTAATGTATTTCAGGTGTATAGTCGTAAAAGTAATCTCTCCACACTGTGAAAGTAATGTAATAATAATAATAATAAACTTTATTTATGCGGCACTTTTCCTAACATGGTAACAAAGTGCCTCACGACAAATACAGAGAAATGAAAGAAGCAGATTAAAGACATTATGATAAAGGATTTAAAAGCTGAAGATAACATTTATTATTCAGGTCCCCCACTACAAGTCAAAGTCCTCCATTCAAAGTAAGCCTCATCAGACTAGATATCAGTTTGATCTGAATATATATTTGTGAGTGAGGTACAGTTAAACTCTTCTTCACACACGTAGATCATATACAAGAGGTTTGATGTAGCAAAGCCTGTCCACATGGAGTTGTCATTTAGTTTTTAAATTATTATTTCATACTATTTTTACAGCTTCAAGGAACAACCTGTTGATGCCTGAGCGTCTGTGTTCTGAATGAAGGGATGGAAACGAAACATTTCTGTATTTATCTGACCATTAATTTTTGTAATAATTGTTTCAACGACCGATTATTTCTCCACAGATTAATCGATTATTACAAAAATGTCCCTAATTTTATCTAAGGTGTTTGGCTTATGCCTTTCACTTATAATATTAGGTAGGCAACACTCAGTGTGACTTTGACCCTTGGTGTTCTTTCTCATGTGTAAAAGTGATTCAATTGATCCGACAGAATTTTTGAAGGACAGGTTTATTTTCAGCTCTGAGTTTATTGCAAACTCATATTTGTATTTTAACTTTTATTTAACTGAAAGGTTTCTCACAGACAGAACATAAGGGTACAAAAATAGTTCTGGTATAGAGACGTACTTCACAACAAAACCTACCAAAAATGAAAAATGAAGACAGTAAATGATGGATATTATGAAGACTATTTGAAAAAGAAGACAAGCCTGCACATTTACTTAGAGCTGATGAAGTCATTTATATTGTATTAATTTACATTTCCACCATCTGGTCTTCATCAGGTCACAGCACGCCTGACAAAGAGACCAGAAAGGAGATGTTGTGATTTGATAAACTTCATACTGACTGAGTAAATGTGCTTATCTTCTTTTCCCTGCTGAGGTTTAATGATTGCCCTGCACCTACGTGATGTACGCTTAACCAACGTCCCCGTCCCCCCCTTTTTAAAAAGGTATTTCTTCATGTGTTGAGAGATGGTGAAGAATCCAGGTCAGTCGTGCCTTCTGGGTCATTCCAATGAAGCACAGGAAGTACGAGAACCTGTTCACCAGAGTCAGGGTTTAGTGTGAAAACAGACATGAAACAAATAATCACAACTTTTCAACTAAATTAAAAATCAGCAAATAATCTGTCAGGAAGTCAGTCGTTCTCAACATCTGCAAAAAGTCATAGATAGTAAGAGTTGCTCAGTTTCTATTGAAGGTAATGATGAGAGTGTTGGGATTTATTAAATCTGCCTCATGTCGGTTCATGATGTGACTTTATGCTACTAATCCCTCTTTTCATCTTCGTTCATACACACCGTCTTTCTTCCTTTCTGAACTTAGTGTTCATTTGTTTTGTCTTCAAGTTGTTGCATGTTTCAACACTTCTGTTTGATACCTTTTGGGTTACTTACCTGGCCTTTTGTATTTGTCACTCTTATCTTGAAGTTCTTGTTCTGTTTTTACTGCGACTGTCATGCATCAGGTTTGAGGCGTATTCCTCGTGCAGGGCACAGAGTTTTGCTCCTGTCACGCCACGGGCTCAATGTTGCAAAATATGCACGTTGTTAGTTTAAAAAAGAATGTCATCCTGGATACTCTGCAAAAACAAAAACCTTGTCTGATTTGGATGCAATTACTTGAGCTGGTTTATTTTGTCTTTCATTCTGAGTATTTTTTCTGAGCGTTCATTTTAAAAAGGAGTCAACAGATATGATAGTTGTGTTTGTGAGAATCCGTTCTGATCTTAAATCAGACTGAATAGTTTTTAAATTTCTCTCTCTGTGTGTTTGTGTGTTTCAGGTTCATGAACAGACGGGCGTCTGCTAACTGCCGCTACCAGCCCACCTGCTACGAGCACGCTGCAAACTGCTACACTCATGCGGTGAGTGGTTTGAATTCAGTTTTAATGCACATGACATGATCTCATTTATTTTGAATGGCTCTGTGGGTTCTTGTCCCTTGCAGCTCCTCATCGTGCCGGCCTTCGTGGGCATGGCGCTGCTGCATCGTCTGTCGGATAACGGCTGGGAGAAAATCACCGCCTGGGTGTACGGCATGGGCCTGTGTGCGCTCTTCCTCGTCTCCACTGTGTTTCATATCATCACCTGGAAGAAGAGCCACCTGAGGTGAGCACGACCAACCCTGGATTTCTATCATTAAACTGAACTAGGCCAGGCCCGTTGGGGTCAGAGAAGTCTTTTTCAAGGGAGACCTGGTCGAGAATAGCAACAACATATACTCTTAAGAAAACATGTACAGCCGGTTGAGGAGACTTTAACTCTACTAAATCAAGTACCCTAAAATCTGCTGTATTAGACGCACTTTTGATATTTATTTCTTCATCTTAAAAGTGCACTGCGCCTTATACACCGTAGTGACAAATATACCAGTATGAAATGCTGACAGACACGCTGTCATTACCACGAGAACCATTTATTGTGTATTGCAATCTGATCGCGAGCTGTGCTGGGATACGTAGTGACACAAACCGGACTGGCTGTGCTACTTTTTAACATCTTCAACATCTAGAGTTTTTTTAAACGGGAGTTTTTTTTATGTTGCACGGAGCCGTAAGGTCCTCGTGCGTGGCTGCACTCTCTCGTGCACGCAGCAATTATGTGAATAAATAAAAACATTAAATAAAAACATGTCTGATATGTACTTGAGCGGCCGGCCCAGGTATCGTCTGTGTGTGGGGAAACGCTGCACAAACTGTGCAGCAACAATGAACACTGCAGCCGTCTGTAGCTTCTTGTTTAAAAGCAGAACATGAAAAACAACAACAGCGCAGAGATCTCTCTCTCCGCTGACGGGGAATGTTTTTGTCTCTTTCTGCATTCTTTCACTTCCCTCTGTGGTCTGTGTGACGTTCTGTTATTCTCTGTTTCTCACATTGCACTTCAGATAACCGACACTTTACATGATTTCTCTCTGAATAAAGTAAATAAGTAGAAACTCTGAACATATATATATATTCAGTTAACCGTGTATGATTTCCAATATTTAAAAAAACATTTTAATAGAATAAATATAATGCAGAGAATAAAACTTTAACGGTCATCATCATGAAGTGTGTTTATCAAGTGCTATCTGCAGAAGAGAAAGTGACTTGTTGTTTATTCTGAAACATACAAATGTTTTTCCCCGTGACAAAATGCAGTTCATGCTTTGTAAACGTGTGACCCTGAGTAAGAACACATGACCTTTAATAACCTGCTCTCTGTTTGTTTCAGGTCTATGGAGCAGTGTTTCCACATGTGTGACAGAGTGGTCATCTACTTCTTCATCGCTGCCTCCTACACGCCTTGGTGAGTGTCACACAGCGGGGCGGAGTTTTCCTCCGAGCGGCTGCAGGAATGAATGAAGGGGTTAATGGTTTTTTTTCCCGGCGTCGTCCTCAGGTTGAACCTGCGAGAGCTGGGCCCGCTGGCGGCACACATGCGCTGGTTTGTGTGGCTCATGGCCGCTGCTGGAACCGCCTACGTCTTCAACTATCATGAGAAGTGAGTTCAGACCACAGCCGGGTCAAACAGAGGTCACAATGTAACTGATACTGACGTCCATATCACTACCATAAAGAAAGTCTGCCAATATAACGACCAATCAATCAAACTTTATTTATACTACACCTTTCAGACAAACTCAGTTACATCTGAAATAGCTTTACAGTTTGTTGATCACCTTTCTGCACTAAAATCTTTTAAACAAACATATTGACTTCCTGCTTTTCTAACACTGTCCCTCCACACACTGCCCTTTCCCTCGAGCAGCCCCGCCTGTCCTCAGGTCAGAGGTCAACTGACTTCAGAGACTCTATTTAAACCTCTCTGTGCTCGACAAGATGAATGAAAGTTTAAAAAATAATCCAGAGCTAGTTTGTGAAGGAGGAAGGACAGATTGGATTCATCTATATCAAAATGAATCGATAGTTTAGTACCAATAACGAGGTCCTTTGTTATTCTCCTTATCTTAAGTGATCTCATGATTTGTGTCTCTAGTTTTTCTCTGGGGTCAGACATCAGTCTCCAGTGTTCTCACATGAGACCTCACCACTCTCCATGTTGTGTTTCTTTGTCTCCTCAGGTATAAACTAGTTGAGCTGGCCTTCTATTTGACCATGGGATTCTTCCCCGCTTCAGTCATGGCATCAATGGTAGTATTAATATTTACTCTGAATGTATTTACCCACGCGCTTCATTTTCATTTCCTCAATCATCACAGGTCAGAGGTCGCTTCCTCTCTTATGTGTCGCTTACTTTCTTTTTCTTGTAAACTGATTCAGGGAGTTTTTAGAGAAACCTTGAGTAGATCAAGTTTTAAGCCCAGCCCAAAATAACAAAAAAGAGAAAAAAGGCGACGACACAATGCAACATCATCAATCTCCTGTCATGAGGGAATTGGTAGCCTCCCATTCCTTAGTGTACGATTTCAGAGAGTCATGCGTACATTTTGCACATTGTAGGAGTAAGTGAAATGCAAGGTTTTCTTAGTGCTGCATAAGTGCAAATATGTGAGATTTTGCAGGAATTGTCTCGCTTTGTAAAACTAATTTAAGAAACAAAGCTTCAACACAGTGTCCTCACAGCGAGGAGGTTGCTGGTTTGAATCCCCGTCTGACAGGAGCCTCTCTGTGTGGAGTCTGCATGGTCTCCGGGTGCTCCGACTTCCTCCCACAGACATGCTCGTTAGGTCATTTGGGTGTGAATGTGAGTGTAGCTGCTTGTCTGTCTCTAAATGTCAGCCCTGTGATTGGCTGGTGAACAGTTCAGGGTGTATCCCCGCCTCTCGCCCAAAAACAGCTGGGATCAGCCACTGCGACCCCGAATGGGAAAAGCTGTATAGATGATGGATGGATGGAAGCTTCAACATTTCAAATCTGTGTCTAATGTGTGCTGCCCTCTTGTGGTTTAAACTGATATTGCAGCCTGGCTCTCTTGTGTGTAAACAACAATAGTCTTTTCTAAAATGTAAAATGTTTTACTTGATATTTGACTCGACATCTCATCAAGTAAAAAAACTGTTTTAAAAATAGAACACTTAAAAATATATATTTTTTTATTTTATACTTTTATTCCTCATTTAATCAGAGATCATTTGTTTTGTGAGTTTGTGTCTTTTTTTTTCTTTGCCGTGCAGAATTTATTTCCAAACAGCACATTCACAAACTTCTTTCTTTTTCTGTGAGTGTGTTGAAATGTCTAAATGAGACTTCTGTTGTTTTAAAATGTCTAAACGAGACGCGCTCATCCGACTGAGTCACAGCTTCGATCAGCTGATTTGAGACATGAGGAGACTTGTTCACTCAACACTTCTCATCTTTTTTTTTTCTGCCTCTCAGAGCAACACTGACGGGCTCCAGGAGCTGGCCTGCGGTGGACTCATCTACTGCCTTGGCGTTTTCTTCTTCAAGAGCGACGGCGTCATCCCCTTCGCCCACGCCATCTGGCACGTGTTCGTGGCGCTGGCTGCCGCCGTGCACTACTACGCCATCTGGAAATACCTCTACAAGGCCCCCAGCGCCGACACCCTCCTCCAGTCGTGACGCACACCTGCACACAGACTCCCTCTCCGCCCGCTGACGCTGCAGCGCCAGCCGTAAAGTTTACCAAAACGACGACCAGGAAATGTTTACTGTTTTGTAACGGAGAGCAGATTAGTCTAACTTCTTTAAAAGCTCTTTTCTACGTCACAGCGAGGGAGGGAGGTTAGACTTTTTACACTGAGCCCTCTGGTGTATCAGGAGTATCTGAGAAATTTGATAACAGTCTTTTGTATCGCTTGAAGTACAACACATTCCATGTCGGGGTCGTTTGTGTGTGAAAACGTGGAGGTTGGTTCTTTTCAGGCGCTGATTCACTGGGGATTGAGGTGTTGGAACAGGAGCAGAGGTGGATATCAATGAAACACGTTTGTACAATTTTGGATACTTTGCTTTCAAAAAAATTAAACTTTGTCCCTTTAAAAAAACTTTTTTTTAATTTCTAGTGAAAATAAAAAACCAAAGATCCCACGAGCAGCTTCATGAGAAAGGCGTAAAAAAATGTGCTTCAAATGAGTTTTGATCTTCTCAAATTAGAAGTGAATTCTGAATCTTCTTCTTGTTTGGTGTCAAATTTAGTATTAAAGTATTTCAGATTGATCCCCGGCCCTCTTTTATCGGTGTGATGCACTCAAAGCGTGTCAGAGAGGAAATGATGAAGAGGAATTCTCATGTTGAAAAGTCTTTGTTTCTTATTTGTTTCTCTTATTTTTATTTTTTACTGTGATTACATCTCAAACTCATCTCATTCACAACAACGCTGGTTTCTTTCTGTCTCTAATGCATGCTGGTTTTTCTGAATGCAGTCGAGTACAGAAGACGATCAGGGCCAGGCATGAGGAAAAAAAATGAAGGAGAGTAAGGCAGTTATTGAATGTAAATGTCAATGATACAAAGTCAAAGTTTAAATAAAAGTGCTGGACATGAGAGAAACTAAATTGGAGGACTTTTTTTTTTTGCAATTTGTAAATAAGGAAAACATTTTCAAAATGCAAAAAAAAAAGCTAATTTTGTATTAACAAAAAACGTAAAAAAAAAAAAAAGGAAGACATGTTTCAATATTAGTGTTGGACAAAGAAAAAGTAATTTCACTAATATATATTTTTTAATGTTTTGCGGAAGAAAAATCTACAAAAAAGATATCTCATTTTTTTCTCATGCATGGCACTTTCACTTCAAGCTTTTCCCGGATTTTATTTTCTTAATTCTTGACCCTGATACTCATCCAGAGTCCACAGTTTCAGCTTCCTTTGTAAGGATGTAGCACCCTCTGCTGGAGGGTTGCTGTAAATATTCACATTTCCAGATGTGTAAAGCTGATTTTTTTTTTTAACGAGCCGAAAGATTAGAGAAAGTCAGCTCAGGCGGATTAATGAACTTTTCCACTTTGTTAATACTGTGAACAGTGCAGACGATTGTGTGTGTGTGTGTGCATGACTTTTGATCTCTAGTCTACTCTCACATTTCCATTCACACCACTATGACGAGCAATGTTTCCTGACGGCTCCTGACTCTCTCTCTTTGTGTCTGTCTTCTTAGCGGAGCTGAGTGGACGCTTATTTTCCTGAACCACTCTGTTTTGTAATGATTGTAAATATTCTGTTTGGTCGTTCTGTTGTTGTTTATGATCCTGGCCTTTGCAGGGGGAGAAAAGAAACTGCTTCTCGTTTGTCCCATTGGTTGTTAATGGTGCTGCATAACATGAATGCTCCTCCACTGTCATTCTGAATAACACCTTTCTAATGTGAAAATAAAAAGTGATAATTCCCCAAAACGGAGATCCTCTCTCAAGAGCATGTGTCGTTTTTTTATTGTTGTGTTTACTCTTATTAGGCAGCTCAATTTTCCTGACAGGACAAAAACAAAGAACCGTGCTTTGACTCGACCCCTGACCTTTACAAATGAGTTAAAAGAAAACCCTTCTTTGACAATACAACACCAAATTTCCACAAAAGATAGATTTATTTTACTTGTATTGTGTTTACACTATGGGGCCAAGGGGCTCTAAATCAATACAATAACAAAAGATGACGTCGAGGCTAGCGGGGAATCATGGGAGTTCTCTCTGCTGCTCGATCCCACTACAGCTGCTTTTCATGAATCCAGGCTTTGATTTAAATATAAAATCTCTGCTTTTGAAAACCTCTTTGCTTGATTTATCTACATTATTGTTTTCACATTCCTGATTTTATTCATCAAAAAGTGACGACCTCATCAGAAATATATTTAAATCTGTGCCTATATTTGAATATTACCCAGTATTTTACATATACCTTATTTTTGTTGATGACCAAAGCAGCTTGAGAAATCTTTATATTGTATAAATTCTTATTTGAAAAAAAAAAAACCCTTCTTCATGGATGGGCAGAGAAAAACGACACGGCAGATAAGAATTGGGATTTTATTAGACACTACAAATTACAGAGAGACGGAGAGGCTGAGGGCTGAACAGCACAAATAATGTAATGTAATCCATTCCGTGACAAACAGGAAATACACCTTTCTGTTGTGTTTTCTTTTTTTTTTTTTTTTTACACTCTGAAACAGTCCGTTGGTGTTGCCATGAATACAATGGTTACAAGTCTATTGCAATGTCCAAAATAAGAAATGAAAGGAGTCGTGTGTGTGTGTGTGTGTGTGTGTGTGTGTGTGTGTGTGTGTGTGTGTGTGTGTGTGTGTGTGTGTGTGTGTGTGTGTGTGTGTGTGTGTGTGTGTGTGTGTGTTGATTTTTGATGCACTAAGAAGCCCTTCAGTGCAGATCTGAAGCGAACTGATTGGAGATGAGAGGCTTACATTGCTGAGAGACTGGGGAACAGTCAGTGTATTCAAGGCACTGGAATAGACTCCGAATTATGGTTTACGTTTCCGGGTGAGGTAGTGAAATCACTCGACAGTGAGGTAATTTTGGGATACGCGTGGATTGATTATTGGCTTTTTCCTATAAACGTACAAGTTTCATAAAAACGATGCTCCGTACGGGCATCTCTCCAGTCTTCACTCTCTCCTCTACAAACCCTGTTCACACTCGAGCACATCTGTGCAGAAAGGATGCAGAGAGGAAACACCCTCTAAAGCGCAAAAAAACACAAATAAAAGATTAGGAAAGAACGGTTTTTAACATCACACATACAACTTTGGATCACGTAAATCAACGAGACCTGGACTGGGATCTGACTAACTCGTCTGTTTTGGCTGTTTTAATGGGCTGATCGTGGGTTTTTCCCTGATTTTTAGGTTTTTTTTCTTTTTTCTTTTTGTAGTTTTCTACCCAGTTTTAACCTCTATAGCTCCCTGAAAAGAAAAAAACACTAATGCCTTCAATTTAGAAGATCTCGACACAGATGTATGGAAGTCAAGAGCTGCCCATTTCAAGTAAACGATGTGTCAATGTTGAAAAAAGGTTGTAAAGTTAGCTTAAAATCGCAGCGTCACTGCAACAATGTCAAATGATATTTACTAAATTGCCTTTTTATTCTTGAGAAATAAACATTAACAATTATTTTTTCCGCTTTAGCTTAGCAAGTATGATGCTATTTTTTTTTTTATTTAGTTAGCTAATTTTTAAAAAGAAGTTAGCTCTTTTATAACCAATTGAAATATACCTCAATGAACCGACAAATTCACTGAGAGGAATGAGCTCCCATTGGTGGTTTTTATCTGTAAAACAGTGGGAGAAAAAACTGCCTCGTGATTCAAAGGATCGGTATTGGACCATTTTTGCAAAGCGTTAGATGAAATAGATCAACACCATTGGTTTGGAATGTGTCCCATAACTAGAAAACAAACCCAAGGTTGAGAATTAAAAGTTTAGAGAGTTTTCTTGACGACAGTTATAAGAGAAAATAAACACCACTCAAGAACTGTTTTCTCAATGTGAAGCTACATGAAGCAGCAGGTTAGCCAAGTTATGCTAAGCTAAGCTAAACTGCTAAAAGTAACTTCATTTTTAAAGAAAAAAAAAACATGACTGGTTTGAATTTTCTTACATCTGTCCGCAAAAACCAACATCCAAAACAGTCAAAATATTTTAAAACTTAACGATTTGATTTTTATTTTGGCAGCTCTTGACTTCCGTACATTATTGGAAACGTCAATATCAGCCCACAAAAACATGCATCTGTCACATCCGAGTCTTATCCTCTTTGACAAAAAGCTTTGCAGCATTCAGCTCTATACGACAACACCGCTAACATTCAGGGGGGGGGGGGTCGGTCGTAAGGTGTGTGTAGGGGGGGGGGGGGGGGGACTCCACAGTAAGCTTAAATTTTCAGAAAGATAAAAACAAAGCTTCCCAGTGTCCATCACTCAGGCTCAGGGAGACGCTACAACTGCATTTAAGGAACCGAATCACACACAGGGCGGCAGCAGCAGCAAGAGTAACCAGCTATAGATTTCCCTTCCTTCATCGTAACTTCATCCCAGAAAGAAACAAGACTTGAACAAGCTGCGCGGCTACAAAAAAAAAGCCTTCAAAATGTTTTGAATTTTAGACGCTCAAAGAAAAGAAAATTAACGAGATGAAAGTTTGATTTTCTAGTCTGTTTTTTTTTTTTTTCAGTCAATGGGGGGAAAAAAGGGGGGCGATAACGTTACATTCTCTCTATTGGACTTCTGCATTTTCAGCATCTGCTTCCTTTTAGAGTTCAATGGGGGTTTTCATGACATGGCAGAAGAATGATGAGAGCAGTGATCATGGTTATAATAGTAAGAATAATAATGCCCAGGAGGTTTGGGTGCTGCTGAATAGCCACAAATCTCTGTAAAACGACCACATGTTCCTAGCTAATATAGAATATCAAAATACCACTATATGCATTTGTCTTTGAGTTATATACTTGTATTCTTTAATAATATTCTGGATCTGTTGTGCCTTTAAAATACATAGTTCAGTAATGTATAGGAAAAATACTGTACAAAAACAACAACTTATAGAGTTGGTTTATATAAACATATCTCTTGTAACCAATATATCATCTCTGCGGTGAATCGTTTTGGTCTGCAGTAAACAAATTGATTGGGTTAACCACAGTATTGGACAACACCATCCAACTTTAGTTTTTTTTTTTTGTTGTGTCAACATCTTTTACATTCATACAGCCATCTTTCAAAGAAGAGGGCGGACATAGAGCTACGATGAGAGACTACAGACATCTGTATTGATTACTCCAAAATAAAAACACTCATTAAAATCATGCTAAAGTGAAACGGAAGCGAGAAAAAGAATTATCAACAACTTTTTGCAAAATAAAAAGAAGATTTAGCGAATAAAAGCGTTTTCGTTCTGTGAAAGAAAAAAATCATGCGTAAATCTGAAAACAAGGAGGAGCCTAAACGACAATGTCAAGAGTAGTATTAATGCTAACAATTATATCAACAGAATACACATATATATATATAAAAAAAACAAAAAACAATCTTCCATCTGAGAAATAAAAGGTAGATAAATATGAGGAAATTTTGAGTGAGGATCAGCGGATCAGATTGTGAGACACGCATTAGTGCAGAGGTTAACTAAGGGTTAACTTAGTCAACGAAGGTGAGATATAAAATGAGAGGGGGAGGCGGGGGACGGGGATCAGGAGGGGGTGAGAAACATGTGTAAGGAAAAACAAACAAACAAAAAAAAAAACAGCTAACAGTTCACCACGACTGCACACGATTAAAAAAAAAAGAGAAAAAAAGAGACATCAGGATTTAACAGCTCAGTCTGGAGATGTGAAAGGAGGATTCATGTGGTGTGTTCAGAGCAAAATGAGCAAATGACACGGGTTGTAAGATCAGCATTGTAGATTCTGCTGACTTCCCGAGAACGATCGAACCAAACTTCATTTTAAAAAACGAGCGTTTAAAGTTATTTGACATAAACATGCAAACTAATCTGAGAGAGCATGATGTTCAGCTCGTTTCTAAATCTTCAACATGATGTGGGTACTTTGGCTTCCTTTGGACTGTCAATAAATCCCGAAAACTGAGATTTCACACAGCTGCAGAACGCCACATTACAGCAGACCCTGCGGGATACACAGAAACTGCCGCTCACATCAGAGGTGGGCGGGGCCGTTCTGCAGCTGGACAGACAACGAGTATGCTCTGCGTCACTTTTTGGTCTGAACACTCCGTTAGAAACACTTTAAAAGGTGAGACAACTTAAAGTAAGACGTGGACATCAAGATAAGTGTTCAGAAAGAGTCAAACTAAAGATGATTGGAGCAAAACAAAACTTCTGACAGGGATTTAAAAAAAAAAACAACAAGATTTGGGAGGTCAGAATCAGGCTCTCGGACACGTCACACAATAAAACACAGAAGAAGAAGAAGAAGTAGAGAGACAGGAAACAAGTTTTCAGTCCTGATCTCACGTATAAAATCGGTATGAAAGTGAACAACAAACAGCATGGCATCGTTTCTCAAAAGTGGAAGGTAGAGCGGGCGGCGGTGGGGGGGGGACTCAGCTGGTGGGTTGGCTCATCTCCTCACAGTACATTAAAGTGGGAAGTATGCATGTGTAAATACATATATTTATCTATGTATATATATATTTATATTAAGTCGAACAATGTGTACAGAAAATGAAAGGAGGAACAGACAAATCGAAGCTTATGAGAGAAGTCAAAATGACAGTTATAATACCAGAATCATACAGATGTGTGGAGGCTGAAGGGGGGGGGGGGGGGGGGGGAGGACGGGAGCAGTGCCACAAAAGAGACACATTGTCCTTAAAACTCAAGGGATGACAGGTCGCAGGGAACAGAGTAGGTTGTGGGCTGGTGCATGGGTTTTTTTTTTTTTTGTTGGGGGGGGGGAGAAAATGGGGAGCGGAGAGGGTGGGGGTGGGGGGCCTCACAGGGGCCCATGCCGGGCCTCGTATTTAGCCACAATGTTCTTGCAGCGGCCCAGCTCCTTCCTCATGTCCGCTACCTCCATGCGGAGTGCGGCGTTCTCCTTCTCCAGGAAGCCGGCGCGGATGGCGATCTGGTTCTCCTTCAGCCGCCGGGCGTCCCGTGACCTCTTGGCCGCCACGTTGTTCTTTCTGCGCCGGGCCCAGTACCTGTCGTCCTGAAGGAGCAGAAAAATGGACAAGTTAACACAAAATACGATTTCTTTGTTTGACTTCTGTGAATCTGAAAAGCCTCATGATGGCGGGGTCGAACTAGTCGAGGAAATGTTGCAGTAGAAACACGCAGACTCTTTATATCTGCATATTGTATCTTGTTACTTAAGACCCCGTGTCCACCTAGCCTGTTTTTTTCTGAGCACCAGCGTCTTTTTTCAATTGTTTTCAATGAGAAGAGTTTGCAGAGAACTTTTCAGAAAGGTGCTGTTGATATCACCGGCTCTCTCTTTTCCAAATATAAGATATTCCCCATATCTTTGCAGTCTTGTACTCCGACCTCTTTGCTCCGTGTCTGATCAGGAAATAAACCAACTCAGATAAAAAAGTAGAGGAGCAGTGTTGGTCATACAGCGACCGTTATCACCAAGGTTATTGAAAATGTTTAATTAAGACACAACAGCTGCGTCCTTTGGTTTTAAATACAATATTTAATAACGTTTTCTTTCCCTCCAGATACTTCTCTTTATTTCTTTCTCCATTTCTCTGGACTATTTTTTACTTTTTAATAAGCTCGTCGTGTTTGACCATGCAGCTTTCAGTCCTCGGTCTTCCTCCCCTCGGGGTCTCAGACCTGCCTACATAACGACCGACCCCAAATATTTAAACCAAAACAGCAGATCTAATCTCATATCACCGGCTGAGGCACAGAGAGCGAGAGAGAGAGAGAGAGAGAGAGAGAGAGAGAGGGAGAGAGAGAGAGAGAGGTGGTCACCTTCAGGTCCTCGGGGATGAACACCTTGCGGGCCTTCTTGATCATCGGCTGCGGCTTCAGCTCTTCGGCGGAGAATTTGCGTTTCCTGGGGTCGAACATCTCCTGGCCGGGCACGCTGGACAGAGCCAGGTCTGCGGGGTCTGGGTCGTAGGTGATGGGAACCTGGATGGACTCTGGGTCGATGGGGCTGGGGGGTGTCCCGAGATGCTATGAGAAGAAAGAAAAACACATTAGTTTCCAGCAGGAACAGAAAGATATGGTGTAAAGATGTGATGATTTATGAGAGAGGGGAGGCTCAGGAGGACGGGGAACCTAAAGCCCCTCCTCCTAGTTTGACTCTTATGAAAGTGGAGATCCATTATTGATTACGTAATGTCAGGATCTTTTCAGTAAAGCTCTTGCAGCCTGATAGGAGGGCACAGAAGGAGCCATCTGAGGAGAGGCTCTGAGTAGGAGGCTTCTCGGGCGCTGACTGCTCACATGTTTGTGTTCTGTCGCTGATCCATTAAGAAATGTCAAGCTGTGACATGAGACTGAGCGTGGGTGTGTAGATTTGAAGCAAGGTGACAAGTCTTCTGGAAGAAGAACTCCCGACCAGTAGGGGGTGCTGTTACACAAGTTTAAAAAAAAAAAATACAGCCGAACATGCCGAGGAGTCTTTTCATAACCTTCTTTATCATGTAAGGGCATTCAGGGATACTTAGAAAAAAAGATGTTTTAGGGACCAACAGTTAGCCAGGTTATCTTTTTAGGCCAATCAAAGTCGGTCCATGCAAAGTGTTTTTTTTTTGTGTCACTGACAGGCTCAGAAAGTCTCCTCCAGAGATGGACAATTTTTGCTCTAAAGTAAGACGCCTTTTCAAAGCAGAAACAGCCGTTACATAACTCTTTTCAAAGCTGCCAAACTCCATTGACCAAAAAAAAAAAGCTATTTTACCTCGCAGAACCGAGGAGCTGCTGGTTAACCTATGACTCAGCATGTCAGTTTGTGTGTGTTACTGTGTGACTTGGGTGTTTTAAAAGTCAAATCAGATCCAAACGAGTTACAGTGTAGCAGCAAAAAAAAAAAAAAAAACACACAAAGAGCCGAGGCGATGAGTGCTGCAAGCTTCAGTCGCTGTTTTTGTCAATGCAGTCTGGAGGCGTTGTGGAGAGCGGTGAAGCGGCTCTTCCTGGATTAAAAAAAACAACTTAGTCTTTACCAATAGAGGTCTATCTCTGTAGGAATCCAATCCTGTCATGTTGTCAGACACTAAAAACATGAATCTGAGTCTATCAGGGGCAAAAACAAGAACTTTTACTACATGTATATTGACCGTTCAGAATTATTTTGGAACTATCAAGGTTCCAAAATATGTTAAAAAGGATCTTTGTTGAAAAACACAATAATCAGCCCGTCCAGAAAAATAAACATCTTTTTAGTATGACCTCTTCCAGCCAGCAGGTGGAGCTATCAGCCAAGCTTTGCAACAGGCGGGGGACTTCATTTCACATTCAGCCTCATCTGAGACTCTGCAGCTATCAGCAGCTCCTGTCTGCTGATCTCAAACCACATTTTGTCTCGAGATGACCTGCATGCTTGCATGTCTGTACGCCTGTTGTGCACCCATTGAACTGAAGCTGCAGGAGCCGAGCACTGTAGGGTGAATCAGTTCATTAGTCGCTCCTAACAGATTTACTTCTACGTGATCTATTGCATTCACTTGTTTCCTCACACTAACCACACCTGCATTCCCCGATGCTCGACACTCGAAAGCTGAACCAGCAACGACTTGGCACACAACAGAGAGCTGAGAGTGCGGCGGGCTTTTTCATTAGCCGCTGATGTTCTGGCAGCTCGTACATCATGACCTACATTTCTGTACTCGCGAGTCTGACGTGACAGGCAGTCGATGCCGGCGACCTTCAGTTGCATCGTGAGCGTGCTCAGACTGATTTTCTGGAGGTTTGAGATCGTGACCAAAATCTGTGTACAAAACCAAAAAACAAAACAGGAAATGTGCATCAGCAGAAAGTGTAACACCCAGAGGAAGCAACGGGCTGCTTCACGACAACAAACATGAGAAACACAGCCGAGGCTGCTTCACAACAAGGGTAAAAACAGACTCCTCGTTTCAATCAAAAAAAAAAGTATGCAGAACTGTTAAGAAGGGCTCGTTAACGCCTCGTAAAGCGGAGCTGAACGTATAAAATCACCCTCAGACAGATGTTTCAGATACAGAACAAGCCTCCAGCAGATGTTGATGTTGCCGTTTGCTTCACAAAAACTGGGCGGGGAGAGGTGTGAAACGTTTTGACCCGATACCAAACACCCATTTTATTTTAAGAAACGTCGACATGTGTTCCGACAAAACAGACTTCCACTGAACGTGTTTCATTAAAGAACTTTTCCTTTTTGTTTAAATTAGAAGCCGAGAAGTGTCAGAGAGTTAGAGGGAGTTCATCTGTTATAATGTTGTTCTCTGCATAAGCTGTTTTTTCTATCCCTGCATACCTGAAAAACATACTTCACAGGCCGATATTGGCTCTTTAATGCTACATTTTTCAGATAAATGCCGAGCTGTAATTGATTTTTCCATAAACAGGTTTAAGCCAAAAACACGTCAAAAAGTGAGAAAAACTTTTAAAAGTTTCATTTTCTGACCTTAACAAGACTAAAAAACATGTGTTCTCTCGTCAAAGCTAACTGTTGCATTAATGCAAACAATCATTATTGCCTAGTTATCGCAAAATCTGTGCAGATTTACATTTGGCACTCCCAGCATGCCAAATGTAAAAATGAGGAAGGAAATACTTCAAAGGCCTTCATCATAATGAATCATTTAAAAAGGCAATATGTTTGGAGCATAGAGCCAATTTAGAGAGTGTAGAGGACGCCTAAGACTGTATTACTGTCATCAGTATCATATCCCTGTTTTAATGTCTGGTATTGTGACGACCCGAGTTCCATCTTTTTATAGAATTCAGCCTGCAATAATTTGTCATTTTTAACTTCAACAACTGAAAATGACAAAGAACAGCAGCACATCCTCACACCCAGAAAGCTGAAACCTGCAAAACAAATCACAGCCACCAATAAAAGCCCATCAAAATATTGGATTTTCTGTTTTCCAATGGATCCCTGATAACGCAGCGAGATTCTTTCCCAGCCCTGCACACAAGCTCTCTTCAAACAAAAGCTCTCAGATCTCATGATTCCACACGCACGCACGCACGCACGCACGCACGCACGCACGCACGCCGTGACTGTAAAGCTAATCCATCCCTGCATAAGCTAAGATGCACACATTTACCTTAACCTCGCACCATTCAAAAGAGAGCACGGCCAGACAGAAAGCTCCTTACTGACTAAAACTAAACGCTGTCATAGACAATCCCTCAGGCCTGGACTCAAACCTGCAAATAGCCCGCCTTGCCCTAATCACCTCTACGGGCCGTTCTGTTCTCTGAATTAGCGTCGTGGTCACAGGCTAAAAGCAGACGCACACGCCCCGTTCATTGATCTGTAACGTCCACAAATAACAACTTTATTTATTTGAGTCCTTATTGTGAGGAAATAGTCGTTTAAGAGGAAATCTTAAAATGAACAAAGCAGGAAAAGTCAGACCCGAGATGTTGGAACAAACGCGATCAAACACCTGTTGCACCTGTTTTTAAATTTGAAGGGTTTATCTGGTGACTCACACACCTGGCTGCAGGTCACTGTCACGCTATCTGATCATATCAGAGTGTGTGCGAGTGTTATCGTGTAGCCGAGCAGCTGAACTCTGACCTGGGTGTAACAACAACAACAACAACAACGACGACGAGCTCTTCTTCATGTGAAAGGCCGAGCTCTCAGGCTGAAGGACAAACTGATTTATTTTTTTGTCGAATTATATTCAAAATGATTTCTCTGTTCTTACAAGACCGACTGCAACTAGTTCATATGACAACACGGTGACAAAAACACCAGAAGAAGACATCACGAGCACAAGACTCAACAGTGTGTGTATCAATCCGCAGCTGAAAATAGTCCCCGAACAAATTCATCTTTTCCCCCTTTTTTGATTCTTGTTTGTTAAAAACTATAAAAGCCCAAACGTTTGTGGAAATAACTGAGCACATTTTTTTTACCGTATCTTATTTTGAAAATCCTGTGCAAATGTACCTAAAATGAAGACCATTAACAGCCCGAGCACTCTTTCTTTTTGCAACAGAGGAATGACGTGTTTCTTCATCATCATCATCATCCTCATGTTTAAAAAATATGAAATTAAAAAAAAACTAAAGTAACTAAAGTTACTCAGCACAACAACTGATTTATTGATGAAACCCCCCGCAGAACTGACTGCTGCTTCAGTGATTAACAAGTCAGGAGGACTTAGTTCCTCCAGATCATGCAGGACATGCTGATCCTGTCCCCAAGGCGTCCCACATGACGAGACATGAGAGGACAGCTGAGCGCCAAAACTAGAGTGGCGGCTACTACAACAAAAAGGGAAAATTCAAATATTGAGTTGTGTGTGATCGAGGAGGATTTCTACCTCTGATACTTTGAATGATTCCTAACATGTTAAAGCCATATTTAACTCCTTGAATGTGCTGATTAGCTTCCCACGGGGGGGGGGGGGGCCTCTTTTCCTTTACATACACGCTGGAATGCACCACAACAACACACCCTCTGACCCCCCCCCACCACCACCACCACATCTGACTTCCCCTTTGGACTCACACAAGGGTCCTTCTCCTGAACTACGCGGGGCCCTTAACGTCTGCAGGTGGAGAGAACGCAGACGCGTCCTGCTCGTTTGTTAGACTTGGTTGCCATAACAGCGTTATCGCTGCTGTGATGGTCGTTAGCAGCGGGGAGCACGCACAAAGGGGACTGCGGGTTGTTTTGGGTTTTTGTTGTTGGTGGAGCGGCTGGTTAGACGAGAGCGAGACTCGCCAAGCTGGAACAACACTGCCCCGCACGTGACAAAAGCACACCAGAGCACATGTGATCTCTACAGGGTACAGCCTGTGCCTTGGCTCCGAGTCCGGGGCTGTGTCGGAGCCAGGCTCGGACGGGGAGGGAGGGAGGGAGGGAGGGAGGAAGACCGGACGGAGGAGAAGAGAGTGCAGAGAGCGAGGAGGGAGGGGTGAAAAAGGGAGAGTGAGGGAGAGAGGAGTGTTCATGCCGTGACAAGCTCCTGTTTGCAGCTCAGCGCTGCACACGGCGCCTGCATGTGTCTGTCACATGGCCCGGCACACTGCAGGAAACCCCAGCCGCGTTCACGTGAGAGTAATGTGAAAGGCACAGACAAGAGAGACGGACCCAAACACGAACACACACCCACACACACACGCACATACACGCACATACACACGCACACACACACACACACACACCCAGGGCTGGAATAAAGTGTACCGTACAGACGCATCTGTTTATCTCTGACTGCGATGTTCTCTCATCGCAGCTTAAAGCCTCTCAGCCTCGTCTGCACATCCCTGACTTAGGCTGCAGACGTTTCAAAGCGGACACAGGAGACCTTTTGTAAAAGATCGCGTTACATTCAGGGACATGTGGGATTTATTTACAGGCGAACACATGAAATAACGAGCAATTAAAACGTGATGCACTCATTTTCCTTTCCTTTACTTTTTATAAAAGTGCTTCCTGAGAATCTGCTCCAACATCAAAATGATTCAAAGTGAAGTTTAACAAACTCTCGAGACGAGTTCTCTCCGTCTGTGTGGCTGATTGCTGTGTTTCTGACGAGGTGTTTATGGGTATATCGTTCTCTATTGTTTCACCATTTACAGACTAAACAGTTTCTAATTGAATCCAAACAACGGCGGACGTTTTTTGGCTCTCGGTAGAACTTTTCATTCCTGCAGGATGGAAAAGGAAAAAAGAGACTAAAACAACGTGTCAGCTCAGTGTGACTCTGCATACCTTTCTACTTCCTTAAACCGTTAATACGCAGTGAGAAAATATACACACACACACACACACACACACACACACCACACACACACACACACACACACACACACACACACACACAACCACGACACACACACACACACACACACACACACAAGATGTAAGACCTGAATTTTAATCACTACAATAAAGGAAATACTTTGAACAGAAAGAAGTGCCCCGACGTTTAGAGATAAAAACTAAAGCAGACTTTAATGATTGCATTTAAAAGTAAACATGTTATATCGTATGTGTTTATGAAAGCACTGTGTCTTCTTCTGAAGTTTCAATATACTGCATTGCATAAAATATCACAATATATTTCACTTTGCTGTAAAGAAACCTCTGACTCCAGACTCCTGCACAAACACAGCCGGCTTTATTTGACGAGATTACCGAGGTGTGCGGCTCTTCTTTTGCTCCTCTTAACCTGTTCATGTTTTTTTTTTAATTCAGCCCCCACTGAGGGATGTGTGTGCGTCTTTTTTGGGGATTTTTCACAAGTGATTACTGTAAAAATCCAGAATATATATAAGTCACACCAGTGTTTTATTTTGGGTTTTACAAATAGGTATAGGTAAGATTTAAAGTCACTTACTGATCGGTCTGAAAGTCTTGAGCTGAGAATGTTTTGAAGTGCACCAATGAGCTTTTCTTGATAGGTAACGTTTCTATTCATGAGGTTCATTACTGCTCTGATGTCGTTTCATGCTCATGTTTTACACTCTGCCTGATTTGACCCGTTTGATTTTATGCTTTTACTCCCAAATTGCAGCTCTTTGAGATTTGACTCAAATTACAGATGGGGGGAAAAAACTGATTTATGGAAAAGAATTGAGATTGTTATCTTCTGAGATTTTAAATAAGATTCATAACTTCCAAAACTTGATATTTTTGTGCCAATGCTAGCTCTCTATTAACTCAGTAGAATACCAAATGGAGCAGCAAGAAATTCAGCCAGTCCCACAGATGACTGGAGTAGATCCTGAAGTTTGGACTTTGAATCATGAATCCAGAATCGTGACCCCAAGAGTGGAAATCGAATCGACTGGTGAGACACACAGCCCTACTTCAAATGTAAAGTGTGTGATAAATAAAATGTCTTATTATAATTATTACAACCGGCAGTTACAGGAAAGAAGTTTAAACTTCTCTATATTGTATTTTGGAGGATAGAAACTCTTTGGAATTAAATCATTTGAAACTGAAAAAATGAATCCATTGAAAGTGAACAAATCATTTTCAGACTGACTCTTTGCAAGTTCATATTTTCTGTGTTTCTTTTTGTCCTTTTGAATGTGAAACGTGGAAGCCTTTGAACGGCTGGTTTGACACAAGAAGCACTTGAATGATGATCGTTGATAATGTGATGAACTTTTCTCACTGTTGATTATACTGGATTAAAAACAACCCGCAGTGGTTGGAAATAATTGTTTCTAGCAGCCTTGAAACTCTAGATTTTTAAATGTCTAGACCAAAAATCATCACCTGATATTCAAACATTTCAAATGATTCATTAAATTATTGATCTGATTTCTAAACCTCTCTTTATGTCTCTTTTTCAAATGTTAAATGACTTCATTTATTTAGGTTTTCTGACCCGGGCTGTCGGCTGGTTACTGATCACTGATATAATGAAGCTCTATAGTAAACAACAACAACACCAACAACAACAACAACAACAACAACAACACTGGCTGTCACGCGATGCCTTCACCACATCGCAGTGAGGTTTGTTTTTCAAACCTCATCAAGGTTTTTTTTTCTTCCTCACCTTCAAAACTGAAGAGACACAACACGCTGACAGGAAGTGTTATTGCGGTGGCGGCTCACCAGCTGCGGAGGTCAAACGCGTTACGCCGACATCTTGGCACAAACAGTTCCAACATTGCTCTTGACTTTTTGGTTTGACTTTTTGGTACTTTCTGAGACGCCCTGGATGGTTTCAGCTTTAAACATTTTTAAAAAAAGAGCGCACAGGGCTGGACGAGTTTCATGACAAACAACCGAAATGAGGAGGGAAAATGTTGTTGATCCGTGTTTGTCTGTTTTAATGAAAGGGTGTCAGAGGCAGGAAACCTATCAGACCTTTGTATTCTGAATTTAGTCATTTGAGTATTTGGTCCATTAACACACTCTGTTAGAACTTCTCAGTGGAACAACATGTGCTGCTTTTTTATCAGGACCCACGTCTACAGCGTTTACAGGTAACACACACACATCACACGCAATCAGTTTGGGATTCAAACACTTAGCGCGGGGTCGTGCCGGCTCTGTTTATGTTTACAGTGAAGGTCGGCACTTTTTTAAATGTTTCAAATAGCTCTGCCGTCTGCTGAATTGAAAACCCAAACAGAGTCTGGCAGCAGCTTAGCAAACTCCGTCACACAGTTTAACACTCCAGTCTAAATACCAACAGCCTACTTAATGTCCGCTTGTTATCATAACATGATTTTCAGCCTCTGATAAATCCACACACACGACTGCAGAAGTACTGAAATCACAGATTCAAAGAAAAGGACGTGTGTGTGTGTGTGACCTTTTCAGATTCATATCTCAGCTTTTTAATATTTCACTGACTCCATGTAGATACTTCTCGGTCTTAAGAGCCAAAAACATCTCAGGCAACGCGCTGAAATTCATCAAAAATTATCTTATTAAGTCTACACTGCAGGACAAAGAGTAAACCAAGTTCAAGCTGGATATACTAATTTATGAATCACAAACGGAATTACACAAGCTGTTTTTATTTTATTTTATCACTAATCTGCCAAAAAGCTGCATGGGGGAACTTAAGGGAATGAAATTGAAAGCAACACTTGAGACTCTTACAGGAGAAAAATCAAAACTCTAATCCACCTTTGTAAGCACAGCACAAAGAAAGGGGGGGGGTTGAGTAAACATGAGTCATGGCTTTATAAATTAGACTGTTCTGCTTCTGTGGCCTGTTTGAGCTGTACTCTGGGAGTCTAAAGTCCGCTTCAGGGCTGTAAATCAGGGATCAAGTACGTCAGCGTGGCTCTTACCTGTCCTCAAAAGCTAAAGCAGCAGGATACTAAATGAGAAACACAGCAGCTTGTTCTCTATTATTAGTCAGACAAAGGGGAAGTGTGTGTGTGTGTGTTTGTGTGCGACAGGTGAGCTAAAGGCCGCAGAGCCCTCTTGAGCCTCCCCTGACATCAATGAGGTGTAAACAAGTGTGAATCCACGTGCGCAGGTGTGCACATCAGGCTCCGCTGCATGTGATTCCTACCTGCTGTGGTGGGGCTGTGAAGGCAGGGCTGAGGTGCCATGCCTGTGTGAACTGAGGTGGTGGCGCGACTGCTCAAGTCCACCACCGTGGGTGTGGTGGGGGTAGGCGGGGCGGGCGGTGGGGCCTGCGCCGCCGCCTGAGGCGCCTGTGGGGTTTGGTCTCTCTGGGCTGTGTTTGCAGGGATGCCGTTTTCCGACAGGAACTCCTCCAGGTCCATGTACTCCAGCTGGAAATTGTCCCCGTCGTAGGACAGGGTCTTGTCCCACAGGGTGGGCCCAAGGAAGGCCGACTGTGGGTGGTTGGCTGCCGTGCCCTCATCGTCCAGCTTCTTCTCTTTCTCCTTGTCCTTCCCTAATCCTGAAAATGTTTGCACACAGTTATTTCATTGTCTTACAGCAGAGGAAAAATCACGGGTCGCTGCATGGGGTATAAATAGACAGTTGCCCGGGGTTTATCTTAATGAGTCAGTTAATCAATTTCATCTAAGGAAAAAAAGTAAATGTAAGGCCAAAGGTACATTCAGAAGTTTGTTTCAGGAGGATTCATGCTGACGAAAAAAATCACTCAAAAGCAATCTCTTACAAATGATTAAAAAGCCTTTGAGGTCACAGCATGGTCATATCTGACCCTTAAAACAACCACTGGCATGTTTTAGCTTAATCATTTGAAGATAAAGGCATTTTGATGTATTTTTTTTTTTAAATCTTCTTTTCAGTTTTTGCAGGAAAAGTTTTTAACACACAAGGTTCTGTTTTTTTCTCCGGAAACGAGCTCATAGTTTGAAAGGTTGACACAGGGACATGCCTTGACAAAGTCCATTAGTACAATGGTGGATAACTATTTTAAACCCTGGACAAACCAACACAAAATATTTGTCAAACTTAAATGTGATTTTTTTTATTATCATTCGGGTGAGATGACCCCTAACAAAGAAGAACATCATTTTTTCTATGATAGTTTAATTACCAACTAATACATTCAACTAAACAAACAGGGAGTAATGCAAACATACACAGTAGCTACAAAGCAGTAAATACGCCCTCTATCGACAGGTTGTGGTACCACTATTATAATCCCACTGAAGCCTTGAGGGTTTAAAGGTTATAAACTCACCTCCAAGCTAAAACAACGCAAGCATAACAATAAACAGTTCAGAATTGGGCAATACGTGAGACAATTATTACCCTGTAAGGCTAATTGGCATGTCAGCTGGAGCAGAAGTTCGAGTCAACCTGTCAGTCTACTAAAATAAGACCAAGACAACCATCGTTACATTTGAAGTATCTCAATAGAACGCTCAAATAATACGACTTCGTTATTATTAACGACAAAGATCGTAAAACATTAAGATGCGTGACTACGGAGGAACTGTGTCCTTCACTGTGTTTCATCTGTCAAAACCATGGATGTTTACTGGATGATAAAAAAGCCAGCGGAGAAATTCTTTACACAGGGGAGGCAAAAGCCGAGTCAGTGTACGTGCAAATTAAGATTTAACTTGTTTTTTTTTCTTTTAAACGTACCTTCATCGTGGTGGAAAGGCAGCTTCAGTGGATTTTCCAGCAGGGATTTCAGCACGCCATGGGTCGGCGGCAGGAAAGTTGGGTTTAGTGGAAGAGGTCTGGCCATTTTCTCCATACGTCTTGAAGGGCAACTGGAGAATAAAAACTCGCACAGACGAGACTAAATTTTCCCCCCCGGAAAAGGACGCGACCAAACTCGTTGACCGGCCCGCAGAGATCCTCGCACACGGTGTAAAAAAGGACGCCGGGGCTCGGAGGGAGAAGACGGGAACCGCGCAGCAGCAGGACAGTGAGCGGCTGGCTGTCTGTCGTCGAGGCTGACTGGCAAATAGCTCCCGGAGAAAGAGGAGGAGGGAGGGGGGAGCCGAGCTCTGACACTACACTTCTCCATCCATGTGCGGAGACCGGCGGAGACGGACGTCGGTGACGTCAAAGCCCCGAGAGGGCGGGAACACTTCTAACGTGGCGTTCACATACCGTTGGAAAATACATTTCTATAGCTTTGTACGAACGGCGATTTGAAGCATGCTGCCTTCAGGGGTAGTTGGACATTTTTGTTCTTCAAGTACTCAAGGCATCCAAATTAATATTTGAAAATGTGCTCCCTTTAGGATGTTTTACACAAAGTTTATCCTTAGATTTTTTTTTTTTTTTTGCAGAAAAAACTCCTTAAATCGATCCTTTTCAGATCTTAGTTTCTCTTCATATTATGGCATCATTTTTACATCATTATATGTTAGCTTGTTTTAAATTAAATGAACAAACCAAGGGATGGGGTCTGGGGAGGGTATAGTCCCAAGGGGCCCACAGTTCACGACGGCCCTTTGCCCTCTTAGCAGGTCAATACGCCAATGTTGTAAAGTAACTATAGGGCTGAATGTTTTTTGACTTACAGTAGCATTCATTCATTCATTCATTCATTCAACAGACCTTACCCAGAAAAAGCAATTCTATAGTTGCTTTTTCAAATATGCATGGATAATTTATACAAACAAATCCCAGTCGAAATGTTTCAGAATATGTGAGAAGTACTTTTCACTGTAGATTTTGTGGTTTAACATCATGTTACAAATGACACACTGACTGAGCTTGCTCAGGGTGCATCAACAACTCCTACTAACTGTCAGCTCATGTTGTAGAGCCTTTCATGTTGAAGTTTTTCAGAGCCGTAACGCCAACAAACGCTGTGATGGACAGGCCTTGTAATGGCGATTTTCTCTGGAAAACGCTCTTAAATCACTTGTAATTGGACTTACCATGAGTGAATGGGAACTTTTTCAAGCCTTAATGTTTCCACACTTGGTTAACATCTTAGTTTCCAGCTTATAAAGATTTATGTACGGGGTGTCGGTGGGCAAGTGGGCAAATGGTTTGTGCCTGAGTCCCATGTACAGAGGCTTGAGTCCTCCAATGGGGCGGCGCCCAGGTTCGAATCTGACCTGTGGCTCCTTTCCTGCATGTAATTCCCCCACTCTCTCTCTCTCTCTCTCCTCAATTTCTGAATATATCCACTGTCATGTATGTCAAAAAATAAAGGCATAAAAAGCCCAAATATCACATTTTTAAAAGATGAATACATGGGTCAAGTTTTAATCCTCATGTCTGGTCAGAAATATTGCAACTTCAGCTGGAAATGAAAGGAACAAAACCAAAACCTCATTACATACTTAAAAAAAAAAAGTTATTTCAGAAGTTTTCACTGTGCATTTTGTAACAGGTTTGCTTCCATTGAAGCTAATTTGAATGAAAGATGTGTTTTCAAAGTCAAATCAGTGGCTTTCTCTTCATGAAAAGCAGTGTCATGCTGAGCCAGTGACACAGTTTAGATCCCTACTGGTGCAGTTTTTTTCTCTCTCAGATCACATATTGATAACCGAGCAAAAACGTCCACTTATCTCCAAAACTGCACACTTCACACATTGTTTAGGTCTTTATAACTGGCTTAAGAAAACAGCTTCTCTGGGCAGCTGCATTCAACTGTAAGTCTGGGCAATGAGGACGCAATCACTGTACAGTAGACTGACATGAATCTAAACTTGACCTACTTTCAGCCAATGGGTGTTGTCAGAGTGCAATTCAATCCGTGTAGGTCGTGGCAGAAAGGAAACTCATGCTTTCCAGTGTAGTAACAGCTGAGTCATATAGTTTCAAACCCTCGCTGCACTGCGCCTGTGTGTTTGTTTTTCATGATTAGCCAGACTGTGTCAACATACTGCTTATTTTCCACACACACACACACACACACAAAAAAAAAATTCCCTCCCAAAACAGAGCTGGCAGGCTGGAAAAAAAAGTAATTGTAAGAGGAGATATATGACAAAGATCTCATGAAAGGAGGTGATTGTGCAGACGGGAACAGAGTGCGACCAATCCTTTTAACTGAGACCGTCTGCATGCCTATGAAATGTCATGCCAAATCTGAACTCAGATCTTATTTTTCATGCCATCAAAGTGAGTCTTCTTCTTCTTTTTGCATCGGACGAGGCTTCAGTTCAAAGCCCTGCTGATTGAAAAACGTCTTCTTGTGGTTCTGAATCTCGGACAGGTCACACTCGGTTGCTGGTCTCTGAATTTAAATCTTTTAGCTTAATGAGACTCTGCAGGGGCTCCGCTTGGCGACCTGACGGATCATTCAGACCGTTTCCTAATAGGTTAAAGATGTTCTTTTACTCTGTGGTTACATTTCTTTGGTTAGTAAGATTTTACATGAAGCAAAAAACACACTTTTAAATAAACAAATTGCATGGAGCGTCCAGCCTGTGCTTATGTCCTGACCAGGATTTCATGCTTTTTTTTTGCCTTTATTGGACAGAACAGCCGAAGGGAGTCAGGGAGAAAGTGTGTGTGTGTGTGGGGGGATGACATGCAGCAAAGGGCAGAGGTCAGATTCGAACCCTTAGCCACTGCTATGAGGACTATAGTCTCTGTACACGGGGTGTGTGACATACCCACTAGGCTATCGGCTTTGCAAACATACACCCAATAGGCACTTCTCTACTTACACTTTCACAGTCAAACACCTATACTAGTGGGAGTGTCACCCACCTGGGGGAGGGGCATACTGCCCTTTGTGATGTCACAAAGGGAAAATCTCAAAATGTGTGCCTGTTTGAGCACACATTTTCTGAAAAGTGGAGCAGGAAAAAGATGGAGAGGATGGACTTTTCTTATAATTGGGGGGTTTGTAGACAGACTAGCGGCACATATTAGTGTTCTAAAAACACCATAAAGTGGATTTTGCATAATATGTGAGCAGGAGGCAGGAGAGGAAAGCTGCAAGAAGAGTTTTTATGTTGATCACTTAAATATTGTTCTCATCAATTTTGAAAACCTTGTCTCATGTTCATATCTTATGCGTCTTAATATTGTAAGATTACCAATTAAAAAACAACAAAGGGCAACAATTAAGTACTGTGCCCATGGATGAAGAAATTAACCCTCCCCCATTGAACTGCGCCAAAAAAAAACCTCCAGGTGTTTTCAGAAAACAAGTGTTCAAGTGTCCCTTACCCCTCAGGCTTTGTCTTTGCCTCATAGTTTTCATTTTAAACAACTCTGGCCTAGATCTTTTGGTCACTCTTAAACACTTTCTGGCCCTCATTCATACAAAGACAGATTACAGATCATTAGTTTAGCTTAAAGAGTAGGTCTTAAAAATAGGTCTCCATTAAAAATCTGTTTCACCTGAGCTGCCCCTGATCAGTTTTCCCGGAGCTAACCCCAAAACGCTACGATGACGCAACCTTTCCAACCTTTGTTTGTCCTCAACTTTGGAGTCAAGTCACGTCCTTAAAACACGTAACCAAAACACACTTAACATTTGTAAATTTTTAAACAATCCACCTGAGACAAAAAAAGAGATACTTTTATTCTGAGGCAACAGAAAGTGAAATGCTTTTGTGAGTGCTGAGATCTGTAGTGACCTGTTTGGATGGGTCACCCAATCAGCTGCACCTAAATAATTACAACTCAAGGCGTTTTCTCCGCCTCTGTGAATTAAGTTTTTCCATGTAGTACGTGCAGGAATTGTAAGCTTTTTTAAACTGTGAGAAACTTTGTGCGATGAAAATTTGTGACGTATGAGCCGAACAAGATGTGTGTTGTATGAAAGCGGTCAGCTGAACAGGGCAGCATGCCTCCGAATCAGTGCAGGCAAGTTAATCAAGGACACATAAAAAGACGATTCAAAAAGAGCCTCGTCCCTGTGAAAATGTGATTTCAGGCTGCGACAGAGAGCTACAAAGACGTGTGTGTGGAAGCAGAGGACATTACACAGTTTATAGCAGGCCTGCTGCTCAGTGTCAGGGTCAGTCTTTTTATATTTGTTGTGCTGTAAAAGATGGAGAAGTATTTTTTCTATGTGGATAAACCCTTCACAAGTGAAATAAGCGGTTATAAAAGAGGCTGTCCTTACATGATAAATTACCCTCTGGTCTCTTGTTAATTTTTTTTATTTTTTTACTTCAGTGTCTGAGGAGGAAGGTTATGCAGAAAAGAATCTGATGCATTTTGACTTTTCCTGTTGGTTATGCATGATTTTTCTAAAAAAAAGCATTAGCATGAGGACTTGATGGGAACACTATGAGGAGAATGAGGTGGCTGGTTTTTAAACTGGCAGAAAGGAGCAGGAAGATTTCTTTAGAGAAAAAAAAAACACACATAGATGATGGATGATGCAACCCAAACATTGTTCCCATGATGAGTAAAAAACTAAACTAAATATAAAGGAGGGTGCTAACGATCAGATGAGACACACATTTACATATAGGAACATGGCAATCTAATATTGTAATGAAAAATGTTTACAACTGTGGCTTTAAGTTTACCCTATATGGATGGTGTCCATTTTTTTTTTTTTAAACTAAGTACGATCCTGATAAATACAGAAAATAATCTTTAGTTGCTCATCCGTACAGCTCAAAAGTTTGTTTCCAAAAGAGAAAAATTCCAAATCCCATCCCAAGAAAACACGGTTATTTCACTTGGTTTACACACAGCAGGCAGAAACACTAACAATCCTGTATCAAGAAACAGTTTAGGACAAGAACTGACCAAGCATCAGATTACTGGGCTGAGAAATTTAGCCAAAGCTGAACTGCCAAAAACTGTTGTTCCTCGAGGGGCCACTAGGGGCTGGCTCCAAAAGAGAGCCAATCCCCATAGAGCTCCATATTAAAACGTACAATTTTACAGAAGAAATAAAAATGCCTGGCAAAAAAATGAAAAATAATAATAATATAAATTTTTAGTATTATACGAACACCTTTGTCTTCGAGTCTCGACTTATTTATTTGGTTATCACGGGATAACAATGCTGACTTCCCTGTGAAAACGACTTAATTGTAGCAGTTTCTTGAGATCTCAAGACATGTACTTGTTAACATGAGAAAATGAAGT